AAAACAAATTCCTAGAAATGGCAGCAGGTTCAATTTAGGTATACATACTGTAAAGAGAACATATTATATATATATATATATATATATATATATAAACAGAAATAATTGAACAAATAACATTATTGTCAATGAAATCAATGACTGGCCGATTCCCATTTTCTTCTGCTTTGCTGTTCTGACAAGAGAAATTCCCTGTGCTTGATAAAAGGTCCTAACACAATATCAAGCTTTAAAATATGTTAGAATTTAGAGTCAACAAGAGATGAACGAACTGGTCCTAAGAAAACTATAGGAATTAAAGACATAGTGAGTGATGCAATTTGATTCCATAATACCTACCTGGTTCACAAGATGTTGAAAAATCTCAGTATGCATATTAAAAATAGAAAAATCAAAGAAAAAAAAAGAGGAAATATTAATGTTCCAGCCACGATTTTATTAGTTGATCATCTTTTCCTAAATAATTACTTAAGGAATGTACATGAAATTCTGATAGCGAATTTTCTTTATTAACAATAAATATATGAGAAGATAAGCACTTCAAGAGGCAAACAATTTGAAAGGCAGTTGTGATCTCCAAAAGAAAAATGTTCTGCTTGAAGATAGCTAGAGGCAGAATCAACTATTCTCAAAAATATAAACTAAAATAACCAGAAAATACCTACTTGTTATATCTTAAAGAATTTTCAACGTTTGAAGGTTACTACTCTAAGAAAGCTCTTGAAGCCTGAACAAATTCAGCATTCCACAGTGCAGCTCACAATACTTCGGGATGCATCTGCATGAAATTCAGAGAAGAAATTTTGGCATTGCTGCTTTGCCATAGAATTCAAAAAATTCCAATTACGGTAGCAAAAGAATTCATCAACAAAACTGCTAGCTGGTATACAAACACAAAAACATCTCATCAATAGTGGACCAAGAACTTGGATTTGGGGAAGAAGTTTAGAATGGGGCTAATCCACCATATGAAGTGAAAGTAAAAACTGGACAGAAGAAAATAGTTCACAATGAGACCATATGCCCTTTTTATAGAACCTTTGACTTGCAAGTTTAGGTCCAGTAACAAGCGTTACATAGTAACTTGGAGGACTACTATAAAACCAGCTAGACAAGTGAACGCTATTACCAACCTACTGCCATGTTTTACAACAAACTTTGCTAGTAACCTAACCAGATAACAATCATGAGTTTGTGTTTCTATGCTTGTGACTTGTGAATGTGAACTTTAACTACATTCTTGGAGAGGAAAGATGTTCATGAGACCAAAAAGTTGTGACTCAGCCACTTCTGGAGAACCTGAAAATGATATTAATTATTATCAGATACTTTATCTTATACGAAACTTTTAGCTTAAGAACCTAAAAAGCATATTACATTAATATTGCAGGTGAATAATATTAATTTCGAAAGGTAAGTACGGGATAGAAAACGAAGACAGAAAAATCAACAATTAGTACTTGTAGTTCTCTAGAGACCAAACCGATGTGCTGAACTCCACAACTCAAAAGGGCTCAATTTTAGCCATACATACCCAGAAATCAATTTATGTATAATGAAAAAGGGTATAAAGTGCTACTAAAAATTAAATAAAATTCTTAGTAAAAAACTTGCCACTTTGTATTTATGAGAGCAGAGTTCTTTTTTGTTATAGTGATTCCTAGACATGAACTTCCTTTGCTGTGCACTTCAATCTACAGAAATTGTTTCCTTTTGAGCAACTAGAACAATCAAGGAATGCAAATGATAGAAAAGAACATGAAATGAAATAAAAGATAATTGTCTAGTTAGGAAAAAAAAACCTTGCAAGAGTGGAAGAAGGCAGTAGGAGGCTGTCGAAGTGTTTTCCAGTTGTCGAGTCAGCAAAGCAAAGGGAATTTGTAATTACGACAATATATCAAACATGAAAGGTACATATTACAAAAATTTAAGATTTTAAATTGATAACAGATTCTCACTATATGAAGCAAACAAGCACCAAAGAAACAAGAGTAGAAACTCCCATAGCATAACATGCTTGACAACTTCCAAGTTCGAACACAGCAAACTACCAAAAGACACAAAACCAAGTTCATCCAATAAAAAAAAGGACATAAATTGAAAAAAAAAAAAACATTATTGTCAATGAAATCAATGACTACTGGCTGTGGATCAGTTCCATTTCCTTTTGCTTTGCCGTAAGAGCAGTAGTTCCCTTTGCTTGAGAAAAGACCCTACAAACAATATCAGAGTTTTAAAATATGTTAGAATCTGGAGCCAACAAGAGATCAAGGAACTCATATTTTAGGAATTGATTCCATAGTACCAAGCTGGTTAGCAAGATGTTGAGAAATCTCAATGTACACAAAAAAAAAAAAAAAAATGAAAAAGGAAATATTAATGTTCCATCCACATACATTACCCATGATTTTTTTAGTTCACTTGGGGGCTCAATTTCAGCAAGCCATACATACCCAAACCCAAATACTAATTTCTACATAAATGGAATGAAAGTATAAAACCCGTAAATAATAATCAAGTTAAAATAAAAATACTTACATAGTTGGAGTTTATGAGACAAAAGGCAGAGCAAAGGATCAAGGGTGCTTGCATCTCAATCTGTCCTACAATACCTCCTCTCCTACATCGGCTTTACATGTCAGACGCACTTTTCCATTGTTTTCGTTGCGAAGTGGAGGAAGGGGGTTTTTATTGGCACATGCTATTGGGGTCGCACGTCACTTATTTATGCAAGTATGCTCGGCAATCTGAAAACTTGAATATTTCTCAATAACTCCCCTTGCAGATGACAGAAATTTTAAGCAACTAAACAATCAAATTCAATTAGAATAAATCAATCAACATCTTACCACAATTTCAAGAAAGGTTGGAGTATGTTCTTAGCGTTTGGATGATCCCACTCCACTAATTCCCACCACTCTTTGACTCATCATCTATCTCGATTTCTGTGAGACGAGGAGGAGGAGATGGTTGGTCATTATCAAGCGCGGGCAGTAGTAAACGGATCCTCTTTAACTCCCAACATTTGTGTATTTCAATTTGTTCAATTGAATCACAAACCATAACTCCTTTGGCGCTGCAGATGCTCTTCAATTGGGGTAAGTTCCACAAAAGCAATTCCCTTAACTTAAGAAAAGTGAATTTATCCAATGATGAATCTGAATCTGATGATGCTATTATCTCCTCCATTTGTCTGCATCCATAAACATCAATTTGCTCCAAATTTCGGAGGGCCTGCAGTAGCTCAAGTGGAATCAACTTGCTCATTCCTGAACATCCACTTATAGAAAGAATTTTAAGATTGAAAAAGACACGTGGTGGTGGTGCTACTCCTTCCACTCTCCCAAGTACACACAACCTGGGCAACTTAAAAAGAGACAACATTTCAAGCTTATAAAAACACAATGAGTCCAAGTCAACCACGCACTCTATCTCTTCAGAATCCCAAATAGAACAGCATCTCAACATGGTTGCATTTTCTAACAAAGATGTTTTGTTTAAGCTGCTTCTCATGTTTTTACACTTAAGGATCCACAAATGCTCAAGCTTATCTGGAAGCACTACACATTCTTCTCCAATCTCGCACTCACAAATTAAAAACCTTACGTTGATATTTATTACTAAATCCATATGTTCTGCTATAGTCTTTTTCTGTTCTCACTCGAAGATCATAAGCTGTAAGACGTTGGAAATCTTTAGACTTATTGACAAAATAATTGAAGTCTTGTATGTTCTCCAATTCACATTCCAAACTCTCCAACTTGCTCAGTCTAGCAACCTCATTTAAATTTATCCTTGTATTAATTGCTTTCCATGGATATACAACCAAGTATTGGAGACTGTAAAGGTGAGGTAATATACCCGTTGGAATCTCTTTCAAATTTGGAGAAAATAAATCAAGATATTCAAGACTTACCAACATCTCCATGCCTTGAGGGACCACCTCAATCCCTGCCCCATTCAAATCCAACTTCTTCAATGCCCTATGCTCTGCTAGGGAAGGCAAGTACTCTAACAGCCGACAATTCCTTAACCGCAATGCAGAGAGATTCACCAAGTTAGAGATGGAATCAAATAAAGCTTCAATACCAGTTTCAGAAAGATCAAGAACCTTAAGTTTGACCATATGTTCAAAAAAGGAACTTGGAATCTCTGACAAATTAGGATTACATGACAATATCAAAGTTGACAACAATGAACACTTCGGGGAAAAACCAACTAGAATTTTTAAAATGTCATTTGCTATTAGAGACACCTTCTTAAGATCTCTCACCCACTCATTCTCATTTGGTACCTCTGTCAATTTCATACCAGCTTTTACCATATATCCAAATCCTGGCTGATATTTTTGATGGCCATGTCTCTCACTACTGTTGAGAAGTAGGGTAAAAAATCTGCAAATGGCTTTAGGGCGTGCTGCAAATGCCACTTTACTTTAGGCTAATTTTGCCTCCCACCAGATTTGGATGCAAAAGGGGTAACTCGAAATGCCCGTATGATACAATGAAGCGCCTTGTTGATCTTGCTTTTGCACTAGCAATATCAACCACTGAACTATCCTTTGGAAAGCGACAAAACAATAGTTTTTGTACAAGGATTTCTGCAGCAATCGAAGGGCAAAAATGGGTTGTTTTATTTAGATAATAGTAAGGGTTTGTTTTTGGGTTCAAGAGACAAAGAAGAGGAAGAGATGACTTTATATTTATAGGAGCAAGATGTCTGTTGTGAACAGACACTCCTTTTCAGTTATTATCAGTTTATTAACGGATAATAACTGAGTTTTCATGAAATTTATCCGTTGAAAATTCTTTCAAAAGTCATTTGGTTTAATTTGAACTCCAAATGACGTGTTTCCTTGCTTTTCAAAGTTATCCACTCTTTTTAGAAACTTATCTAAATTTTATCTATTATTTTGACGTAAATGGTTCGAATCAGAAAAATGTGATTCGAACAAAAATCATAACTTTTCGGATTTTAGTTTTACGTAAATGATTCAAATCATATAATTATGATTCGAACCAAAGTTACACTTTCTCAAATGCATTCTGTGCAATTGCTTCGAACAAACTTTTTGTGTTTCGAACTCAAATCCTGGAATATTTTGAAAATTCTTCAACAATCGCCCACCATTTTCAAAATAGAATAGCCCACCAATTGTTTTGGAAATCTTATGCATACATAAAGATATCTTACGATTTGAACCTTTAACTTAGTGAACATGTGTTGGCAAATTAATCAGAATTACATGGTAGACTAATGCTTTGAACCAGTGATTCTAAGTGATTAATTGAGCATATGTCACACACAAGACTTCAAGCTTTTCAAAAAAGGAATTCAGCATCCATCGACACAAAAATTGGCCATGTGTCTTGTATCCTTTTTATGAGCGCTGTTAGAGTCAAGTCTCCAACTCCTAGAAGCAGCACCACTTCCACTCATATAGGTAGATCCCATCAAAAGTGCCACCGCATTAAGCACTTTAACAGAAATCTGTTATAGGACCTATTAAGAGTAAAACTCAACCTCTTTTTATTTCATACGGTTATCAAGTACTCTTCCACTTGGGATGGTATTATTAATAAATTGAGTACTTGTAGTCACATCCATATAATGTACTTTACTCATTGAACTCAAGAGTTGAAGTTTTTATCAAGCGTTAAGTCGAGGTTCCATCCTGTATGACTTTTATCAACGGACTTGAGACCCATCCCTATAAATGTTTTATATACTTTTTCTCTTGTTAATCCTTTTGTTAAAGGATCTGCTAAATTTTCACTAGACTTCACATAGTCTATGGTGATCACCCCATCAACAATTAATTGCCTTACATAACTATGTCTTAGACCAATATGTCTAGACTTTCCATTATATACTTGGTTATAAGCTTTTGCTAATGTAGCCTCATTATCACAATGTATTGAGATCGGGGACATTGGCTTTGGCCATAAAGGAATTTCATATAGTAAATCTTTTAACCATTCCCCTTCTTTACATGTAGAGTTTAAGGCAATAAACTCAGCTACCATGGTGGAGTCTGTTATGCAAGTTTGCTTCTTGGATCCTCAAGAAACAGCACCCCCACCAAGCATGAAAATCCATCCAGTTGTGGATTTATGATCCTCATGATCCGTGATCCAACTAGCATCCGTAAAGCCTTCTAGTACCGAAGGATAACCATTATAGCAAATGCCATAATACATAGTTTTCTTGAGATATTTCAAGACTCTATGTATTCCTCGCCAATGTAAAGAACTGGGATTACTTGTGTATCTACTAAGTTTCCCAACAGCATATTCTATATCTGATCTTGTGCAAATCATTGCATACATCAAGCATCCAATTACTCTTGAATATTCTAATTGTGCAATTGGTTTTCCATCATTAGATGTTAACCTTAGATTAGGATCAAAAGGTGTAGAAACAATTGCATAATCATAAAAATTAAATTTCTTCAAGACTTTTTCTATATAATGGGACTGAGAAAGGATTAAATTATCACCATCTGTATGAATTTTTATTCCCAAAATCACATCAACAGCACCCATATCTTTCATGGAAAAGTTTCTAGAAAAGAATCTTTTGGTTAATTCAACTTGTTCTATGTTGGTACCAAAGATGAGCATATCATCTACATATAGGCATATAAGAACACCTTGTCCATTTTTATACTTGTTATAAACACATTTATCTGCTTCATTTATTTTGAAGCTATTAGCAAGCACCACTTCATCAAATTTTTGATGCCATTGTTTAGGGGCTTGCTTAAGTCCATACAAGGATTTTATAAGCTTGCAAACTTTCTTTTCTTGACCAGGCATCACAAACCTTTCTGGTTGCTCCATGTATACTTCTTCATCTAATTCACCATTTAAAAATGCTGTTTTAACATCCATTTGGTGAATTACCAATTTGTAAATTGATGCCAAAGCAATTAATACTCTTATAGTGGCAATCCTTGCTACCGGAGCATAGGTATCAAAATAATCTATACCATGCTTTTGTGAATAGCCTTTTGCCACTAATCTTGCCTTGAATTTGTCTATTGTGCCATCAACTTTCAATTTCTTTTTTGAAAATCCATTTGCAACCTATAGGTTTGCAACCTGGTGGAAGATCCACTAAAACCCATGTGTTATTCCCCATTATGGAACTCATTTCCTCATCTATGGCTTTCTTCCAAAATGCTGAATCTTGTGACTTAATTGCTTCTTCAAATATCACAGGATCAGCTTCTATATTATAACAAAATTTAGTTGCTTTTCTTATCTTTTCTCTTGTTCCTTTAATAAGAAACATGTAAAATTCTGGACCATATGTTCTTGCTTTTCTAGCTCTTTTGCTTCTTCTAACTTCAATGTTTTCTTCCAACTTGTTTTCTTCCAAGTTGTCTTCTATTCTTTGTTTTGAACTTTCAGTAATTGCTTCTTTAGGTTTAGGAATTGAATTAAATCTGCTCTCTTCAAAGATAGCATCTCTTGATTCAATTATGGTATTGACATAAATTGAATCATTTGGTTCAATGACCATAAACCGGTATGCCTTACTATTTTTTGCATACCCCAAAAATATACATTCAATTCCTCTTTCACCTAATTTTTTCCTTTTGGGTTCAGGTACTCTTACAATTGCTCTACAACCCCAAACTCTTAAATAGTTAAGGTTTGGTTTTCTTTTCTTCCAAAGTTCATAAGGGATAACTTGGCCTTTTTTAGTAGGCACCCTATTCAATATATGGCATGCTGTTAGCAATGCTTCACCCCAAAAACCTAGACTTAAACCAAAATTTGATAACATGGCATTCACCATTTCAGTTAAAACTCTATTCTTACGTTCTGCCACACCATTTTGTTGTGGTGTGTATGGGACTGTTATCTCATGGATAATTCCAGTGGATTCAAAGTAAGATGGATCATAATATTCCCCACCTCTATCAATTCTTAGACATTTGATAAATGTCTCACTTTGCAATTCCACTTCTGCTTTATAAACTTTGAATTTTTCCATTGCTTCATCTTTTGTATTTAACAAGTAAACATAACAGAATTTTGAATAATCATCAATAAAAGTAACATAATATTTCTTGCCAGCAATAGTAGGAGTACTATGCATGTCACAAACATCACTATGCACAAGATCAAGCAATTTAGAAACTCTTTCAATCTTAGGAAAAGGAATTCTAGTGATCTTAGTAAGCATACATGTCTTGCATTGTGATTCATTTGTAGGCAAGGTAGGAATTAATTCTAATTTAAACATCTCATGCATCTTCCTAAAATTAACATGTCCTAATCTATTATGCCATAAATTAAATGAGTCAAGAATATAAGCAGAAACAACACCTTTATTATTAATATTATTATTAATGTTCATCTTGAACATGCCCTCACAAGCATAACCTTTTCTTACAAAAATCCCACCCTTCGACAGAATAAATTTATTTGCCTCATATACAAGTTTAAAACCAAATTTGTTCAACAAACTTGCTGAAACTAGATTTTTTCTGATATCTGGCACATAATGCACATCAGTGAGAGTGAGAACCTTTCCAGAAGTGAACTCAAGGTCCACGGTTCCTTTGCCTTTCACTTGTACTGTTGCAGAATTTCCCACATACAGCACACTTCCTTCAGGTTCTGGTTTTAAAGTCTTGAATAGACTTTTGTCCTTGAAAACATGCTTTGTAGCACTAGAATCTATCCACCAAGCAGTGTCATCTTCCATGATATTAATTTTAGAAATCACAGCAATGAATTTTTCATGTGATACTGCTGGTGCATTCCTTTTCTTGAGAAAATAACACTCCTTTTCTTGAGAAAATAACACTCCTTTTTGAAGTGTCCAGTTTTTCCACAATGGAAACATGCACCCTTTTGCTTCCTAAATTTTTGATTTTGCTTGACAGAATACTCCTTCTTCTTGAAAGGCTTTTTGGGCTTGCTTGAAGTTCCTTCCTCCAATACATGCACATCCGAGACTTGCACTTTCTGCTCCTTTTCATTTTCTGCTCTATATTGCTCTTCAAGTCTCAAAGAGTTACAAGATTTTCAAGAGAAATATCTTCCTTTTTGTGTTTTAATGTTCTCTTGAAATCTTTCCATGCATGAGGAAGTTGATCAATTATTGAAGACACAACTATGGATTCATCCATCTTCATGTCATATTGCTTGAAACTATTCAGCAACTTTTCAATTTCTCTAAATTGTTCCATGACTGATTTGTTATCAATCATTTTATAATTATTCCATCTGGTCACCAGAAACTTCTTACTTGTTGCATCTTCATTCATATATCTTGTTTCTAACTTATCCCACAATTCTTTTGCAGTAGACTCATGAACATAAGTATCAAAAAGGGAATCAGACATACCATTTAAGATGTAGCCCCTACAGACATAATCATCATTCTCCCACTTTTTCCTTTTCCTTGTATCTTGCAAAGTTTCATTCTCATTTTCCTTTGGTCGAGCATCAGTGAGAACATAAACGATGCTGAGAGTTGTGAGAAGGATGTGCATCTTGCGTTGCCATCGAATAAAGTTGCCCCCATCAAAGCGATCTAACTTCTGGAAATTAGTAGCCATCTCACGCAAAGTTGCAGCCATAATTGCAAAACAGAAAATTTAGCCTAAAGATTGTTGAGAAATAGGGTAGAAAATCTACAAATGGCTTCAAGGCATGCTACAAATGCCACTTTCCTTTAGGCTAATTTCGCCCCCACTAGATCTGGATGCAAAAGGGGTAACTCGAAATGCCCGTAGGATACAATGAAGCGCCTTGTTGATCTTGCTTTTGCACTAGCAATATCAACCACTGAACCGTCCTTTGGAAAGCGACAAAACAATAGTTTTTGTACAAGGATTTCTGCAGCAATCGAAGTGCAAAAAGGGGCTGTTTTATTTAGATAATAGTAGGGGTTTGTTTCTGGGTTCAAGAGACAAAGAAGAAGAAGAGATAACTTCATATTTATAGGGGCAAGATGTTTGTTGTGAACAGACACTCCTTTCCAGTTATTGTCAGTTTATTAACGGATAATAACTGAGTTTTCATGAAATTAATCCGTTGGAAACTCTTCCAAAAGTCATTTGGTTTGATTTGAACTCCAAATGACGTGTTTCCTTGCCTTCTAAAGTTATCCATTCTCTTTAGAAACTTATCTGAATTTTATCTCTTATTCTGATGTAAATGGTTCGAACCAGAAAAATGTGATTCAAACCAAAATCGTAACTTTTCGAATTTTGGTTTTACGTAAATGGTTCGAATCATATAATTATGGTTCGAACCAAAGTTACACTTTCTCAAATGCATTCTATGCAATTGCTTCGAACCAACTTTTTGGGGTTCGAACCCAAATCCTGGAAATATTTTGAAAATTCTTCAACAACTACATCATGCATCTTAAAAGCACCATCACCATCACCATCACCATCTCGATCAACAATTTTATCTAACAAATAATTCTTTTAAAGTCTATTTAAAAATGCATGACCCTTGTCATAAGCTTCTTGTCTTCTTCCCAACTTATCAATCAGTCCTTCATCAATCCAACCTTCTATCAACTCTTTTCTAGAAAACTCATAATCTTCTCGGAACAAGGAGCAAAACAGAAAACACTTTTGGATTTCCGAACTTCTTAGACAATCGTAACTAAATCTTAACTGCACAAATATTTCATCATCCATACCTTTCACACTTTTTACACATTTTTGTAATTCATTTAGTCAATTTCTCCACTCTATAATATCATATTCTCCCCTCATGCCTCCTGCTATTATAACAATTGCCAATGGTAAACCGGCACACTCCTCTACAATAAGCTTCAAGATTTCTTCCAATCCTGCAACTTGTAAAACATCATTTCCAACCCTATTTAGGAATAGATTTAAAGACTCCTTTTGTGATAGAGGCTGCACTCTAACAATCGTACAACCCAAATAATTGCACACATCAACTAATCTACTAGTGATAACTACTTTGCATGCATTTTGCACAATTGGTTATGGGATTCCAACATCCTTGAGAGAAAACTTTTCCCACACATCATCTAATATCAGT